TATCCATTTTGACTTTGGACCTACTTAGAAGCTCTTTCTTTTTTCTATGATTTCCTCTAGGAAATGGGACCATATCACTTATTTTCTCTCCCAATATTGCATATTGGAAAAGGATACCTTGTCTAGTTTGAGTAATTATAATTAGAGGAATCTTGCTTTGGACTAATGACACAACCAATAACACCCAAGCCTAATTTTGATGATGTAATATATATGATTTGGGGTTTAACATGGTTTGAATAAGAATAACTCTCATGGGTTCATATATTTGAATGCTGAATCATCAGGGAATGGAACTCTTTGATAGGATTAGAAGGATTAAGAGAAAGTATATTATTGGGGCTGGACTCTGAGGTTTTACAATCCCATACCATGCTTGTTCTCTCTTGGCCTATGTAGCTCTCAGCTACTGCTCAAAAGAAGAAGAAGAAGAAGAAGAAGAAGAAGAAGAAGAAGAAGAAGAAGAGGAGAAGAGAAAAGAAAAAAGAAAAGATGCCCTACCATGATGATAATGGGCTAAAATTCTGAAACTATATGCAAGGCCATCATTAAATGCACTCTTTTGTAATAGTTATCTTGGTCGTGGTGTTTCTTCACAGCAATTAAACAGTGCTAAGACAGGGCTTATCTTAGATGTTAGAATGTGTTAAGAATTTGTAATATTCGTAGTGGGCAAATTAATTTTGCATGCAATGTGGACATGAATTATGGGACCAGAGAATTATGGGCTACTCTGTATTTCCCTCAAGTTTATATAATTCCCAATACATTCTACCTTGGAATCTGACCATATTTGAATATAGGATCTTTAAAAATATAACTAAGGTAAAATGAGCTAAGATTTCTGGGCCATAATACTGTAGCTTGTGTCCGGATAAGAATAGATGAGGGCATAGCATCACAGATGGAGAGCAAGGACATGAAGAAGAATAAGGTCATCTGAAAGCCAGGGAGAGGAATCTGGAGGGATGAAACTTGTCAACACCTAGAGCTCACACTTCTATCTCTAGAACTGTGTGACAATTAATTACTGCTGTCAGACATCCAGTGTATGCTATTCAGTCCTAGCCAATAAGAACAGCCAATGGGAAAACATAATAGGAAGTTACTATTTAAAGTAGCTACCAGGCTGTACTATCAGAGCCTTACTGTTGAGAAGAGAGGATGTAGGTTGTTTGGACTTGGGAACTCACATTGTAACGTGGGTCCAGATACTACTGTTGAGGTCCTCATTCTTCATGAGAGCAGATCATCAACCTTCAGCCTGAGGTCCTTTCCCAAGAGAGGGACAAGTCTCCCCTAATGGCCTCTCACTCCATGTTGTCTCCTCAAGTTTGTTGTTGTTGTTTGGTTGCTTGCTTGTTTACATTAGTTTCAAAAACACATTGTATTTGGAAGGCAGATTCATATTCATTAAATTACAAGGTCTTATGAGAATATTTCTCAATCAAAAAAATAAAGTTTCCTTAGGAGAGTGGTACAGTTTCAGTCTCTGGGGGCAAGGATAGGTAGAGGTAAAGCCAACTCAAAGCTTGCTTTCCTTTCCATTGATAGATATGTCCACTCTGACTTTCAAGCTTCGGACAGACACTGGGTCACTATAACATGGCTCTTCTATGGCCTGGCGTTAGTGTTTTAATTTTCTACGAGAAAAGACAAAAATCAGAGAGATGCTCAGTGGGCTCAGTGTGTTAGAACACTTAGTGTACAAGCATAAAGCCTGAGCTCATATCCCCAGCATCCAAGTTAAAGTCTGGGCCTTGAACTCCAGCATATGGCCATATCCATGCACACACTGGCAACACTACCGAGACTCACTGGGCTATTTCCAAAAATTTTTAAGAAGAAGAAGATGAGGAGGAAGATATTGAAGTTGGAGGAGGATGCATTGGAGAGAGTCCAGAGAAGAGTGTGAGAGAGGAATGTGGGGTGTATGTGATCAAGGTACGGAAATTACCAAAGAATATTTTAAGGCTAGTTGTAGTCATATATACATGTATAACTCCAGCAGGATTCTTGTGAAGATGGACGACCTTAGAAGATTTGTGGCCGTCAATCTAGCCAAAGCATTGAGCTGCAAGTTCACTGACACACCCTGTCTACATAGAATGTGGACAATGCTAGCTCAAGATATGCAGTATTCTTCTCAGTTTTCATATGTAAACACTCGCAGACACAGGTGTGTGTGTGTGTATGCATATATATCATATGTACATATATAAATATACACACATATGTATATATGCATATATATATATATATATATATATATATATATATATATATGACACAAGCCACACACACTTTAAAAAATGCAAAAATTCTAAACTCGTTAGGAAAACAAGCACTGTTAGTTCTTGTCCAGATAAATGATCTCACACGGATCATGAATTTTCCCTCTGACTGACTCCTCTGAGGGAAAATGCCAAGAGACTTTATGATGGCCATGGGAGTATGATATTGGCTGTGAATCAGGTTTTTGATCTTTTCAGCCTGGCTGAGGCCAAGGCACTGCATGAATTTTCATTTTGTTGGTTAAACCAAGTTCTCTGTTTATTGTTGAAGAAGGAATCTTTAATTAGCTCCACCAGGGTGCTGGCCTAGCTTAGCTAGGAAAGACTTAGCTGTTTCAGTTGTAGGTAAAATTCAAAGCTGTTTATCAATGCCCAGTGATCAGGACCAACCATCTGAGAGAGTTGTTTTCACATACAATTATTGTTTGTTTTATGTGTATAATTTGATAATATTAGACTATTAATTATATCATTATACAAATGGTCATCACAGCTGACTTTAGTGTTTGATTTCTTTTACTTAGCTTGTTTTGAAGTTCAATTGTGGAACAGCTAAGTTTTACTATTTCTTTTAACCAGTACATTAACCATTGTATGAATAAAACATGTTTGATAATGTCTTTATTTAATAAAATTTCATTTCCGTGTTTTCTTTTCTCAAAGAGTTCTAGATGCATAGCTAGCATTCAGTAAATACCATCATTTATATAGTGTCCACTCAAAGGATTATCTCTTTAAATAACTCAGTTTTGGGACTCCATGGAGGCAAAAATATAAATTTACAATGAATGAGCCTCCTCCAACTCTCCCCAGGATCTAAGGGCATCACAGACACCCTCCCTTGGCTTATTATTGCAGAGTTGGCCATAAATTCACATACTTAGCCTTATCATGAAAACCATTATCCCAACCTTTCCAGGAAATATGGGGCACTGCCTTCTACTTTATAGTCTTGGGGTCCAGACAAGATATGATGTTTTTCTAGTCTCCAGGAAGCCACCTAAAAGACAGTTGGTTGTTTAGAAAGATACAGAGTGGAGAGACACTTTAAAATCTTTAGCCAGACATGTTGCTGGCTTCTTTCTCCTTCAGTCATTTGTATCTCGCACAATAATTGTTGACACTGCATAGTCAGCGTTCATCTGTTCAGTCTTTCAGCTATGAGTTCTTTCAGCAAATGCTTCCACCCCTGCCCAGAATGGCTGAAATTTTAAAGAAAAGCTGATTATATTGGTAAGGGTCGATTTACACATGCACTCCTGATACATTTAAATGTAACTGCATCATTTTCTGCAATCTACTTTTCTTGGCTAGCTCACTGGTTTGTTGTTGTTGTCATTGAAATGGTTTTGGTCAGAATATGCAAAAAACCTTTGAGTTCAAGAGTACCAGGTTGACTTGACAGTGACAGAGAGAACAATGGAGCTAGAGGACAAAGTGACATTGACATCCTTTCTTCCCACCCAGGACAAGTTTCTTGTCCACCTCTTCCTAGGACATCCACCCTGAGTGAATACTTCATTATATAAAATACTCACATTGATACCTGCTCTATTCTCTTAATAAATGGTCATTTATTCCAGTCCTTACATTTCTTATTACTTTTCTTAGTTGACGACAAATGGAAGAATAAATCTGCATTTTAAACTATAGCTCTGACATTGAATCCACAAGCCAAAATGCCTGTTAGAGATGCTGCTTGATCTTAAATGTCTCACATCATCATTTATTTAAATATGAGTCTGGGAAATGACAATGGAATCATGATTTCAAGCTAGGAAGGACACAAAGTAAAGCAGATACAGGACTTCTCTAGGAAATTTTTATTTCTTATTGCATTAAGTGGTAGGAATTGCAAGAATCTGACTTTTAGATAAGATAGTACATTCAAAGAAGACAAAAGTGTAGAAAAATCACCTGGGCTCAAAATACAGCTACGCCTTTAACAATCTCTGATTCTTACTGTATTAGTCAACAGTATTCTTTTGTGCTGTGCTTTCCATCTGGTATGCATTCTATAATGTATAATTACACTTTATATATGAACTATTTAATGGAAGTAGGATATTCCAAATATGAATGCCACCAATTTGAGGAACATCGTGAATACAGAATTGAAGGCACCAAAGCCCCAGTGGGAGAATTGACCAGTTGTGCCGAGTTCATGGCTTTCCATCTCTCAGTACTTTCTACTGGTGTCCTTCCTAGTTTCAGGTTTCTTGTAACCAACACTACATCTTATTCTTCCCTGTTTCTGCCTTATGTCATAGAAGGGCATTTTGTAAAAATGAGTCTGAATCATTGCTAGGTGAACATGAAGTCTGCACTGTACACTTTACCTAACTATCATTAAAACCTTCAAGTGAATCAACAATGAGACAACATGGAGGGTTTTATAGTGTAAATCAAGACAACTATATCATCATTAAAGCATTTTTATTGTGATTACATTTTTAATGGCACATTTCTTTAAAAGTCATTTAGTTACATAAGTAGTTAATTTTGCAGAAAGAGCAATTTGATGTCTATGATTTTCTTAACATAATGTAGGGGACAGAGGTTGATACGATACCGGTCAATCATTGAAGAACTTTGTGATAATGACTCAGGGCTTCTTATTCTGTCACCTAATTTGCATAATTTGATTGTTTTACATGAAAGAATAAGTACATATAGAAACACTGAAGACCATTTGCCCTTTTTACACTAAATAGTAAAAAAAACATTATCACATTTGGGCACAAGCTTTGCCTCCAAGTGAATACCAAAAACATGCTTTAGAACTTCTTCTATTTCTTCTTCCTTCAGAATCTTAAACTCTACCAGATCTACTTTGTCCTTATAATTGAACTTCTTTTGGGCAAGAGTGGTACCCATTAAGCCATGGACCCCTTCTCGAGTATGCAGGGAGCAAAGTGATGTGTTTGTCATCACAGATGTTTGTGATACCTGGTGGTGTGCACTCATGCTCTGGAAATTTTCAATTGTTCGAGGTTCAAGAGTAAAAGAGTAGATTTTTCGATGTTTGTTCTTCTCAAGAAAATTAGAATCAACAAATTCTTTGTTTGGAACATATTCTTGTCTTTTAGTTTGTTCCAGGTACCAGGTTCCATTCTCCTCTGTCAAACAGAAGATGGCAGGCACCTGAGGCTGATCCTTCCCAGATGTCAATTCTAGAGGCTCCCACATCTGGCAGGAAAATGGGAATGCACTATCTACAATATATTTTTTGCCACTGATGGTCGCCTGTAGTAGAAGGTGTATCATAGTGTTACTATATTTGCAGGTTGGAGGGCAATAAACACACCCTCCTAACATTGTGACCTCAAAACCTATCATGGTCAGAGCCCAGTAGAGAAGATGATTGACTTGAAGACACCACCCACCCCGCTTCTTCCTCACAATGTGATGAAAGATGGCCTCTAAGCTTGTTTCCATGGGTTTCCCACAGTGGATGTTCAAGTTCTCAAAAGGAATAGCCCGTATCTGATGCTGAAGGATTTCAGTTAATGTTTGCAGGTCCAGTTTGTTCCTGGAATTCTGATAACCAATTCTTTCAAAGTATGCTTCAATGTCCATGGTCCCTTAAGGCAAGGAAAACAGGACAATCAAATGTTACTATCTCCACTTGGAGTTCCTTACAAAGGTTACTTAAAGGTTATCTCTTAAAGTTATTTAAAAAGAAATGTAAACACACAAATACAAAATTAGCTTTAAATATCTGTCATAATAATTTCTTTAAACTGCTTAACAGTGTCAGTGAACCTAGAAAGAAAGTTTATTCATTTCTTCTATCTTTCAAATATCAGAAATTAGAAATCTAGATGAGATGGTGAGGCAGATAGTATGCTGAAGGTTTCACTGTGATTTTCTCTGACAGAAATGAACAAGGGTTTCCAACTGATGTGCATTAAATAAGCCTAGAAACAGTGCCTAAAAGAAATGGGAGTAGTTAGCAAAGGAACACTAGGCCTTTATTATCCCTGTTGTCCTAGGGAGTTTAATTCCTACAACCTAGAGTCATGTTCGAGGAAAGCCTAGACTAAGGAATTGCCTAGATCCTGTAGTCTTGTCAGCATGTCTTTGGGGAAAACTATCTTGCTTACTGGTGGATGTAGAAAGCCCCAGCACCCTATAGGTGACACCATTCTCTGGGCTACTGATCTTAGACTATATAAGAAAGCTAGCTAAACATAGCTCACAAGTGAGCTAGCCAGCAATGTTTTTCTATGGTTTCTGCTTCATATACTTTGCAGCCTCACCCTGATTTTCTCAGCCGTGAACTGTAATCTATAAACTATAATCTAGAAACCCTTTCCTTCCCCTAACTTACCTTTGGTCATCATTTATTTAACACAGCAACATAGATAAAACTACGACACAGACCACTCTGTGCTCTATTTAAAAGCTGGATATGCATTCACACATTGATTGATACACCCAGGAAACAAGTTACTGAACATTCACTAAGCATTTCCCACTGACATAGTGATGGAATGACTTTCTGTATATTACAGAATACTGTTGTGATAAAACTCCACAACCAAGGCACTTTGCAGGGTTTATTTGGACTTATAGCTTCAAAAGGATAGAAATCTATAACCATTATGGCAGGCAGGCGTCAGTATCTAAGATTATAGTAACGTAATCAATGTTAAATATTCTGGGACTAAACGTGTTTAAATTCTGTGTTAGTTAAGCTGGGATTTGGGGTAAAGTGCTAAAGGGACTCAAGAAGCAATCTCCAATAGCTGAATAGAAACAACGTTAGCATCTCAGGCTGGCTTGCAGCACCTCTGTGCAGGCATAGACCTTTCCCCTTCACCTTGACAGTTAACCTATAAGAAGACTCAGAGGAAGCAGAGTGAGCATATGCCGGGATCCCATTGACATATTTCAGAAACTGTACCTGTTCTAGTTAGCCTCACACAGCTTGAATTCAAGTGTCTTGGAATCCCTCTTCTTTCTCGTGCAAATGATGGACTAATTAAAACATGACTTTTCTTGAAGTAAAAGGATACTTTTGAAAACTAAATTATAGAGGATCTCTGAATTTCATGACACATTCGTGAGGTGAACATATGGGTGCAAAGGGAAATGTGTGGAAGGAAGAATGGTCTTTCATTTACAACGTGTGTGGTCATGTGTTTTGTTTTGGCTAAGGAAACTTTGTTTCACAGACACACACATGAAGTTTTAATGGGAATCCAATAAAGATGACTTAAAAGCAGATTGGTCTAAAGGTTGACTGTCTATGATGCATAGCCATACATGAAGGCTACTGTGCCCCAAGAAGCCAGATTTGGCCATTGGTTCTCAATAGGCACAATAAAAGAGCTAAGCTAATAGTGAATGGCAGAAAGGAAAATTTATTCAACACTGGGGAGAAGGACAAAGAGATTCAACCAGCCCTGAAATCTACTTGCAAGGTACTGGCATGAGGTTTAAGCTTAAACAGAAGACAAGATATATAAGTCACAAGGTGTACCAGTGTCTCAGCCAAACTGTCCTGCAATGATGGTCTTTCCGACAACATTCTCTCACAAGCAGTAAATATGTTTCATTGGCTGCAGATTCCTTCTCTGCCTTCCCCCGGAGAAGGCAGTCTCTTCCTCCTGAAGGAGACTCCTGATGGAATTCTAAATCTTTGAGGACCACTGCTTTAACAGTCTGATAGCCAAGAAATGGACACGTGTGTGTCATTAGTATATTCCCATTTCTACCAGCTAGGCAGGTTACATTATCATTCACGAAGGCTATAACAGCACAAGTCCAATTATCAGAGATTCAGCTGGAGTCTTCTATATGCACTTCAGGGTTTTTTGTTGTTATTGAGAAGAAGAGTTGCAAAACGCCAGGGATTTGCTTTACTTGATTTAAGTGTGATATTTCTGCTTCCTATTCCTTCTTTTCAGCTTGCTATGTTCTCATCCACACTGAAGGAAACTGAATCATTATACATTAATATCATACTCCAGAACCCAGACAAGCCAGTCCTTTAACTATCTGGACAGAAAAGGATTGGCTGGGCTGGTCATACACAAAGACCCTTAACCAACAGTTTGCAGTGTTCAGGAGACCTACAACTCAGAAATTGCTGTAATAGCACTTCCAGCAATGAAGGGGAAAGAGGACTGTATCTCCAGGGAGCCCCAAAAACAAATTGAAAGGAAGGTAGTGTTCTAGTGTCCATAACTAAGGATGGCAAAGGCCATATGAAAGTAAATCTCTGGCAGAAAGTTGTTGAAGAGAAGATAGTTTCAAGTTATTTCTGAGGAACAGGATAGAACAAAGTGTTTTGCAGGTAAGGCAATGGAAGGAAGGTCTTAGGGAAGGGAAACAGCAATTCTAGAGAGATCCAGGAAGTTGTTGTCAGCTGTGCCCAGAGCCAGAAGCCAAGTCCTGAGCAGAGGCCATCGGTCTCTGACCCTCTGCCTTTGTAGGAGCATTGCTCTTGAAATATTCTGTGTTCTGAGATCAGGGGCAAAGCAACTGATAAATATAATACAAAACCAAAACAAAAGGACAACAAAACACATCTTTACAGTTCCTGGAGAAGACCCCACTAAAGCCTCCTTCTCCGAAGAACTGGCAGGGACCTGGGAAAAGTGAGCAGGTTTGATCCTTGTTCTTGCTGGAGGACAGGAATTCCAAAAATTGGGAGGAGGGGGGCTAGGTATTGTAGTGGCATATTTTCCCCCCGCAAAAGAAGCTAAAGAAGAGAGAGAAGTAAGCAGATGTGTCCATGTCTCTTGCAGTCAAAGGTAGTTGATCTATCTAGGTTGGGTATTGGGTTACACCTCTGACTGTGTGAGCATCTTGTTATTGAGCATTGTCAAACATATAAAGCCTTTGATTAATCTTTAAGCATTAGAATCTCATTCCTACCGGGTACTGTGTGGGTGGCAGGATGGCCTGGGCTCAGCCCAGCCTTGTGGAGACAGCATGGAAGATTGGCAGAGCCATCTCCCACGTTGGCATCTTGTGGGTGGCGCCGTGGCAGCAGGGAGAACACGGCCACTGCTCGAGACCTCAGGCCTAGCCTAGTCAGGAACATGGCTGCTCTGTAATACAAGATAGATGGGGTGCCACCACTTTTTAAATATCTCCCTCAACAAGGTACCTGGTTCCTCATTAACTCCCCTCCTAAACAAACACCTGCTTGGAAGCTACATGGCCTCTAACCCCATACATCCTCATTTTCAAGAACTGAAATTACAAAGTCATTTAGAAGATGGGCTGTAGTTGGGTCAGAAAAGAGTTTAGGATCTCCAATCTTGTTGCCTTCCAGACCTTGAGGGATGGTCATGGAGACCTAAGATCATAAGGAGAGCAATAGGTAGAAACTGGCTAGGCAGTTTTTGGAACAGGGAACTTACCAGGAAACCTCTGGAAGTGTCCTTGACAGAGGCCCCTCCGTGAGAAAATACACTTCTACCTCCCAGAAGGTTATACTCTCAGTACAGTTACTAGCAGGGCTCCATAGCTAAGCCTGTCTGCGTCTCCACTCTAACTGAGGAAGAAATTGCACTCCTTCTTTTCATTGATTCTTAACACAGATTCTAGCCAGAACGCTAGCATGTTTCCTGGGCACTCAGATCCTAGCATGTTTCCTGGGCAC